TCGTAAGCAAATGATTTCAATTACATGCTAACGCTCCATGCCATACGATATCCGCCATGTTATCCATGCTGACGAGGTGTGTTTATTGACCAGATAGGTCAAGTCGCTAATCAACCAATCAAAATGCTGGATGGTGCCCATGTGCTCAAATTACCATAAACATTTAAATATGTTAATGACAGTTCAGCGACCTCATGGTGAAAGCAACACGGAAGATATTTACCGATGTTTTAGTGCCATCTTTTGGCTTTGTTTTTCATGGGAAAAAAGGCACAATTTTTTTTTTTATCTGCCCGATTTAGAAAAATGAATAAACGTACCGTCCCAAACAAGAATGTACCGGGTGGAATTTTTCGGGGAAAAAAATAAATGTACCGGTACGTAGCCTTCTGGGCAAGCTCTCCGAGTAGCGACATATTTTTAACTTCGCATTGGCGTGATCAGTGAATTACGTAAATAAACCAACACTTTCAATGAGCACATGCCGACCCAACTAAACTTGAGGACGCATCTCATAGAACAATAGCTGTGGAAATCATAATGTAAATGTTGCGGAAATCAAGCATGGCGATAATGATTTTGAGCGAGGCAGAGTTATTGGCAGTTCAATTGACCACATCCGAGTCTGATAGCGTCTAAGAGCAGCATTGCGCCGACACCACCACGACGTTTGAATCCCGGAGAGAGCACTGCAAACCTCTTAAATCACAAGGTAAACTTTCAATTTACACAATACATAATCAATTCCTACAACAATAATGAAAAGGCAGTTTTTCTGGCGAAACGCTCGCCAGGTTAGCAATAGTTTCTCACGATCACCAAACCCGAGACACAAACGATAATTCAAAGTGTATAAATACCATAACAAGCACAGTTACTTACCTTTGAAATTGATGAGACACAATTTTGTCCATATAAGCGTTGCGCAAATAAAGATACAATTCCGGGATACAATATCCTCACACAAAAATGACTGTGATTTCCACCAAGACGAGAACTGCGTATGCATCATCAAAACTCAGATTAAACTCGGGTAATTTCGGGAAAAGTCGGATTTTTCCAGCAGTTTTGAAGGAAAAATGTTAAAAATCAAAGAAAAACACAGTGAAACTTTGAAGAATCGAAAAAATAACTTGATGTGCATAATAGCACCATCAATTCCTGTCTTTGTACCAACTCTGAACTGAATTGGATCACACATGTGTGAGAAAAAGCTGGTTAACGTGAAAATGTGGACACACGGATGCACAGACACGACCCAAATTAATACCCCGCCTGGATCGATATACTTTTTTTCCTATATTTTACATTCAACTTATCAAAAAATCAGAGAAAATAAATTCCATACAAAACACCCAAAAAGTCTATTCAGCGAAAATTAATTCCGGCTAAAATAAAGAATTTCACAGTATATAAGTTTGATAGTAATCTTGTAATTAGAATATGGAAACAAGTTTCTAGCATGGGATTTTATTTCTCAATCTTCCACTTACAAAGAAAAGGTCTTAACCACTACACTATGAAGTTTCCCAATAGACAAAATATACACTTTAAAAAAACATTCAAAAATCGGCAAAAATATTTTGGATTTTTTGGAAAATCAACTCCAAAATCTATACAGGCCAACTACATCTACAGATTAATCTAATATATATAAGTTTGGTAGAGATTAGCTGAATATTATTAAGATATCACATCCAGAAAAAAAAACGTTTATGGCAACACCGGACATTTTGCCACTACAATGACTGCCCCCTTCACTTCATTATTGATTGAATCAGCCAAGTCAACGATTGTGGATACTTTAAAGAAATAACATGAATATTTAATTTCTTGAAAGGGTGTGAATAATGCGATGTAAAATTGATCCTGTTTCAAATCTTCAGCTTTTTTATTTTACTAACTGAGCATGGGATTAAGTAGCTATCCAATCAAAGACATGGATTCATCT